ACCCCAGTTACCACTACTGTGCATGTGTGTCAAGGACAGAAAGGCAGATGTGGCAGTGGAAGGTGTCAAAGCAGTTTGGAGAGAAAAACAAAGTAAAGAACAACAAAAAAGAAAGAAAACGATTAATCGATTATTAAATTAGTCATCGATTATTATAATAATCGATTAGTCATCGATTAATCGATTAATCGTGCCAGCCCTACACACTGTTGAATGACATCACCAATAACACCAATATACAGGTTTGACCAAAAAGTCTACAACTCCACTCTATCTCATCGCAAGATGATCTTAGTCTAAGAACATCTGAGAGTTTTCATTCATACATGGAAACACAGAAAACAACCCTCTGCCAGGTCTGTATGTGGCGCTGCCATGAACATGCTGAACACAAGAAGAAGAAAGATGACAAGGATTGAGAGTATAAGACTAAACACTTTTTTTTGCAGACTAATATCACCTCAAGGTACTGTACTTCTGACTCAGTCGTGTCAGTCCAAACCCGCTAATATAACGAGCGATTTCAGGCAAGAATCCAGTGAGGAATAGAGGGAAAAGTTCTGCTCCTAAGGAATTTTAAACACATACTTAATGCATATTGTTTTTGACAGTTCAATAATTTGACCTTGGTGCAATAAAAAAGGGCTTTTACTCTGCTTTATTCATGCATTTCTATTGTCCATGGGTCGGTTTATTTACTGAAATAATATGATTTACAACAGTTTTCTTGCAGTTGAACAACTGGTGTCAGCAATACAAACACAAGCTTGTAACCAGTCATTATTAGGGTCAAAGGTTAAGAAGGCGAGACAATGACATCATCGGTTTCAAACGGTTGTGTTTAGGCTGTCCACACTAATACATCGGAGGCAGTTAGGGATTTTTTTACAAAAAAAATCTCATTTTAGGGGCTTCTAAAAGGCTGCAAGACTAAAACAAACACTGACATAAAAGGTGGCAAAAATGCCTTTTCTTGAAGAAATGTTGAACTTTTCAATTATTGCTTTTATATAAATACCTTATTAGAAACATTTAAAAGTTCATCAGTCAACAACAAATCAACAAAATCTGGATGCAAACTCCTGGCACAGTCATGCTACAAATATGCCGTAGATGCAAAATTCAGTGAGACGTCAACTTAAAAATAGTGCGTTTTCTAAAAGTTCTGAGTTCTAGACCCCAGTCACTCACAGTTCAGTGAGACGATGAAGCAACACCAGACATAGTGATCAGAGCAGCTTCTCTTGTTCTTTTTAAATGATTTTTTATGATTAAAATCAGAGTGGATCTTCCATCTAAGAACAGAAATCTGCATTGAAAGGTCTAACTGGGACGTAAAAGTAAGAGATAATCTGGAAGAGCTGCTACATGACTCAGAAAATAAACCACAGCTGGTACCAGCCCCACAATCAGGACGCTGAAACTGAAACGTCCACACGGATTCTGGATGTTTCTGCAAACAGAGTCGGCCGATGATCTCCGGGACTAATTAGGGGGAAATGTGGGATGAAAAGTGCCCTCCGTCCCGAGGCGGAGCCACAGCAGCCTCGCTCGCTCCGGTCGCCTGAGCCGCGCAAACAAAACGACTCAAGTGTCACAGTCATGGTCTGGCATCTCGTCTCCTTCAGTCACAAGGCCCGCTCAAATAAACAACCAAACCCACCCTGACGGGGTGGGGGTGGGGTGGGGGGCTGAGAGGGAGGAAGTCACTACAGCAACTTTTATCTTGCACAGCCAACTGACATGTCACACCATCTGAGACTACCACACACACACACACACACACACACACACACACACACACACACACACACACACACACACATACACACAGCAGAAGGAGACATCTGTCCACAGCTGCAGCAGCTTATTATCAACCTGAGTGTAAGTGTATTTGCTGCACAGCTCATCTCTCTGCACAGATGAAAAAGACAAACATCCCTTGCTAGAATCCCTGGCGTGCCCTCTCACGCCAGGGATTTGGACTAAAGATCATCTTAAGCTGATGTCGTTACTGCTTTTGGTCAAACCTTGAAAATATCTGCACGCGTGAGTTCGTCTGATCTGTTAGTGCTTGGAGCGTGTGTTGTGAATGACTCTCAGCTACTGCCACACCAAGTTTTAACTCCGGACCCGTAAAACCGACCGACTTTATAGCCATCGGTTGTGTCTCCTGAGTCCAGTTGGCTGTGGCCACCCTCTTGAACTAGGTTGACTCTAAAAGTCGATCAGCTGTAGACCGGCATCCAATGATGACTTTCTATTAAAGTGCCTGTGACATGCTTATCATTCACATACAAAACATCTAATAAAACATTGTTCTATTTAAGAAACCTGGCATACCACACATTATTTTACCCATTTAGACATATAACTGGCTTATTTTCTCTTGAACTTGGCTCGGCAAAAGGGAAACAGGAAGTGACATCAAAGTAGGGCTGTGAATTGGCAAGAATTTGGCGATACGATACATATCATGACAGAGGGGTCACGATACGATATATCCCGATATATTGCGATGTTTTTGTCCAAAAATGCTATTAAATAAAAACCTCTTACTGAAAAAAAAAAGAAAAGCTAATGTTTACTTACAATGCTAATGCTCTCTTACTCTCTGGAGCTCAAGAGGTAGAGGAGCCAAATGGCTGGCTCACTGCTGCCAACTAGTGGCCAGAGGCTGAACTACAACATAAAAATGAACAYCTGGCAGGAAAGTTGACATTTTAAACCTTAATTAAAAATCGATACAGGGCTTTAGAATATCGATACAGTATCGGGAAATGAAATATCGCGATATTTCAGAGTATCGATATTTTCTTACACCCCTACATCAAAGGGGAACTCCTTTAAGAAAAATAACTCACTAGTCTTTGTTGACATATTATTATTTGAACTCTGACTAATTTTTTGTTTCTGTCTGATAGCGACTCAAAATAATCTAAAACATCAGATTCCTCTCCACGGTCTGGGCTGTTGCGCATTTTAGCTGAGCTCTGTTTTCATGCAGATATTCCCCTTTGACATCACTTCCTGTGATTTCACTTGCAAATATCTCAACAACTGTTCATCTCAGCAGCATGAAAATGATTTTGTAATATGCTCTCAGTGTTATCTTTCCAAAATTGCATTTGTATTGCAAACATTTTGATATCACAGGCACTTTAAGATCCATCGTGTGGTTTACAAGAGATTTTGCTAACAGAAACACACCATTAACTTTAACAGTTAACACCACAGTTTTAAACAAGAATCGTAGCCCTCACTGGGGATGACTCAGCTAGCGTCACACCGAATTTTAGCTCAAAATCTGTAAAACTGACTTACACAGAGCGGTTTTTGTGTTTTGTCTTGGTTGATTAGCTGTGGCGGCCATCTTGAAGTGTGCTGACTCTGAAAGCTAATGAGCTGTAGGTGGATATCCAGTGATCCCTTTCTGAGAATTTAATCAAAATCCGTCCACTAGTTCACAAGATATTTTGCTAACAGACTTATGCAGGTGACAAAAACATGATCGCCCGCCTTTTCTTTTTTATTTTCTTAAAGTGGCGGTATGAAAGGAATTTGACAGGGATTCACTCACGAAACCGTATCCTCGGGACTTCCCTGTCTGCCGGTCAGTGATCACCACCGCCTCGTCGATGTCCCCGTAGGTCTGGAAGTGCTTCCGGAGCGACTCGTCGCTGGTGTGGTACGGCAGCCCGCCGACGAACAGCTTGGTATAAGTTGTGTCTCTCTCCGTCACGGGGGGCTTCATCTCTAACGACACCCCCACCAGTTGGCCCAAAACCAGCGGCGAACTCATACGGCTCGGAGTAATAAAAACAAAAACAAAAACCGTGACAAACTAGACAAATTAAAACAAGTCGAACTTTCCGAGCAGCTTTATCAGAGCTACACTACAGCGTCCATGTTGATTAAAGAGCAGCCTCCTCCTCGGAGCCGCTGGACGTCTAACCCGACAGGTGGTTCTGGTCCCCGGTGGAAAACCCAGCTAAAAGTCTCCGGCGGACTCTCGGTCCTCTTCTGGTCCAATAGCCGAACGGTGCGCCTCTCCCCCACCTCAGAGCATCCCGCCTTCAGCTCCACCCTGCCTCTGCCTCCGCTGCACAAAGGGATGACCCTCACGCCCCTCCCACATCGTGTCCGCCGAAATTCTCCGAAACAACCCGAGCCACACCCGAACAACTGGGCTGAGAAAGGACCGCGTTGAGCCATCCAGCTCCAGCTGCGTCAACACAAAAAGTGGGTGACATTTAAAAAGATGTGTTTTACATTCAGGTCTATAAAGACCATAATTTACCTGCAAGTTTGCCCTTTTTTTACAGCTGTTATTGAAGTTTGTGAACAAAAATATCTTACCTGTTGTAGGTTGCTCAGTTTGGAGACTTATTTTGAACTCTTATTTTAAAAAAGTTTTATAAACTTGTACATTCCTGTCAGTTTCCCCATACGTGGTTATTTTGCAAGCAGTCTGCTGGTGAAGTTTGGGGCATTTCCAGCTGGAAGATCATTCTGCCACAACAGCATTCCCCTTTAGTTTTGGGTCAGATCAGACTAGCCAGTAGCTCATCTCATGACGCATCAAAAATGTGGCAATCCTGGGATTTTTTTTCTCCATAAGAACTAAACTTAAGAAGAGAAAATCCATCAGTTGGTGGTGAGGGCAAGGGTTAGAAAGCTGAGGAGAAAAATACAGTCTGAAGCATCATTTTATATGGATGAAGAAATCAAGAAAATATTTGTTGAACAAATATTTAGTTTTTCAAAATCTTGTACCTTTTCTTTGATCTTGGATTTTGGGATGCCCAACAAAATTTGACTTGTTTTTTGCAATTCAGCTGGTTTCAACTTTATAGTGCGTGTTTTCCAAATACTGTTGTCCTAATAAGAAAAATACCATATTGATATAAATGATCAAAAATAAAAAATAAAAAAAAGCTAAATTGAAAACACCACTCATGTCACAACTTATTACTTCTTTTGTTTGGACTTTATTCCTGTTTAAAATGATTTTTTTTCTTCTTCTGTTCTTGCATCTTCATCTCTTCATTTGTTCAGCTCCTCACACACCTGTCGTTCATATAATCAGCTCACCTGTTTTTGCTCAATCATCCTGCCCAGTCTGCTTTGTTGCTTTGAATTCAGACATTCATGTCCACAGTTTGGCTCCTAGACCTGTTTGCATTCAGGTCTAATCAGTTTTCTATGACAATAATGTGGAAATATAAAAGTACTCCAAATTGTAGCTGAATATCCAACATGAGCAAATACACTTTCAGTTTAACAACTGTACTTCAAAACAAGTGAGTCGAACACAGATAAAGTCTTTGAAGAGGAATGAAGAACAGACAAAGGTGTGTGTGTGTGTGTGTGTGTGTGTGTGTGTGTGTGTGTGTGTGTGTGTGTGTGTGTGTGTG